GTTTCATCCGATATTCGAAGCACAGAGTCACGGCTCTGTATTATAAATATTGGTTCTATTAAATACTACGTAAGTTACTACGTGAATGTAAATAGTTAAAATAGTTGAGTAAAAATCACAAGCTAATTTATCTTAAAGCTATTAGGATTGAATCCTAAGCGCATTGAATGTCATAAGCTTCGTTGTCGTTGAAATAATTAAAATTAGTTTAAAAATAACTGCTTCCTTCAAGATTACCTGAAGGTTATATAGTAATAAGCTACAGAATTCTTCCTTGTAGTACATCAAGATAATAAGTAAATGCATATAATTTTATTAAAACAAAAACAAAAAATTAGTGGCATTTCACAAAATATTATTTGTTTTAAGAAATTTTGCTTTCATTGTGAAATTATTTGTCGCAGCAAAAACTCAATAACGGAAGTATTTTACATGAACAAACGACCATTTATAATTTCTTACATGCGATTGAACTTTTGCTCTCGTTACTTTCTCTCTTTAATTAGTTTTCATTTCCTTTTATCGTACACTTGCGTTATTCTTGTTTCTTTTGCAATTTTAAACAAATATGTAAATTAGCTAGGCAATGATAAAAGTTGCATCGATCAGCTGGAAAGTATTGCGTCAAACCTACCTAAGAAATAATACGAATTTCCCATCAAACAGAGATTAGTGTTTAAATGTTTTTTTGTAAAGGCAAAAATACATTTTTTTTAATATGCATACTATTTTCTTAATTAAGTTAAAATATATCCCAATAACTTATGTGTACTACGTTAATGGGAAAAAAAGGAAATGAAAAATCCGATTAACAATCATAAATCAATAATAAATAAAACAATCATTTACACATTATTACGTTATACTTAACCTTCATTCTTGTACGTGAAATGTAACAATAAAATAATGCAGTAAAGAAAAAACAGTCATAAAAAAACTTCTTTTAAAATAATATTAATTATAATTACATTCGGTCTACTCTGAATAGCTGCTATTTTATCACATTTGTAATTAAAAAGATAATTACTTAGTAATTTCATTATAATTTAATTGATAATTTCTAATAATATTTATAATTTAGAACCTATTATGCCTGAAATATTACGAAGATTATTTCCTACATTAGTATGTTATAAATCAATTCAACAAAAAAGACAATATGCTTTGAAGTAAAATTAAATATGGTCATTTTATGCACCTATTGTAACGCAACTGTTGTATTGTTATTCTTCGTACCTCGCATTTATACCTACGGTGCATAAGACTTGCAAATTTTAAATCGATTTTCTGAAAAAAGCAACATTTTTTAATTTTCTAAGCGTTATCTTTTTATGTATTTACTTCAACAACGTGTTTATAACGTATCGGTAATTTCAATAAAACGGAAAACTTCAATATCGATATTCGTAGTTACGAAACATCTTATCCAGACTGGTTTACTTTAACCATGATTATAAGTTTGGACGAAACCCTTTGTCGTACGAATTTGATCCTGTTTTTTCAATACAAATCTTAAACTGAGTGAAAATGGTCTTGAATGGAAAG